CCTATCTCACTCCACAGACCCATCTCACTCCACAGACCCATCTCACTCCACAGACCCATCTCACTCCACAGACACATCCCTGACCACCCACCCATAACAAGCACTTAACAGACCCATCTCACTCCACAGACCTATCTCACTCCACAGACCCATCTCACTCCACAGACACATCTCACTCCATAGACCCATCTCACTCCACAGACCCATCTCACTCCACAGACCCATCTCACTCCACAGACCCATCTCACTCCACAGACCCATCTCACTCCACAGACCCATCTCACTCCACAGACCCATCTCACTCCACAGACCCATCTCACTCTACAGACCCATCTCACTCTACAGACCCATCTCACTCCACAGACACATCTCACTCCACAGACACATCCCTGACCCACACAGACACATGCATATGCTTCTAGACTGACCCCCTACAGAGAGGGATGCTGTGTACTGCCCATGCTGCTTGCTGCAAGTCACTCACCCATGCACTAATAAATTGGTCATTAATACAGTACCAGCTCTCTTAACACCACTGAAGCGTAACACCCAAATGTCGCTGATCATCAACAAAACATATGTCAAGTTTGGAGTCCCCGAAATCCCTCCAATCTGTGAACTTGTCTCCAGTTCAACACTTGAGCTGACAGAGATGAAGTCAGCATGACTTACACTGGGTGTTTATATGGCAGTGTTTATATGGCAGTGTTCACAAGGCCAAGGCTTTGTTCATTCCAGCATGACTCACTGACCAAGCCACTCAACTTAGACATGTAGAACATGTCCTGTTTGTTGAAAAGTGAGTAAAGTTAAAAAAGACCTCCCTGAATGATCAATATTTTCCTCACATCAAACAGTCACAAAACCCTTAAGAAACCATACAAATTGTGAATTTAATGAATGAAATATTTGAAATTCTTGAAGAGAAAAGTTAACAGTTTTTTGTACTAACATCTGGCAGGTTGTGGGAGATTTCAATGGTGACACATGTATCCCTTCAACGATCGTCACAAGATGTCAGTTCACTTGTATTATGCTGGCGGCAGTCATGAATATCATTGGGAGCTACTACAGCATCATCCACATCCCCGCCCACTCCACCACTGTCAGGCCACATAGTGACCACACTCAGCAACATCCCCGCTATAGAACCGATTGATGTTTTTACCTTATGTGTGACATCTTCAAATAAGGCAATTCAAATTGATCACGTTCAAATACTTATTAAAAATGTGATTACTGAAAATATTTTTGAAAACATGTTTTCATAATGATTTCTAACACAGACAAACAATAACAACTTAAACAAACAATGATATAACACAAACAATGATATAACACAATGACACAACAATGATATAACATAAACAATGATATAACACAAACAGACAATAATATATCACAAACAATGATATAACACAATGACACAACAATGATATAACACAATGACAAACAATGATATAACACAATGACAAACAATGATATAACACACAATCATATAATACAATGACAACAAACAAACAATTATATAACATAAACAAAGATAACACAATGACAACAAACAATGATATAACAATGACACAAAAAACAAACAAACAATGAAAAGAGTCTCCCCTAACACCAACTGAGTGCAGCATGGTGCATCTCTCCTCATGCCAGTGACTGCCATTCCATTTCAAACACTTAAAGTGAAAAAGCAGGCTGCATAACTGGAATAACTCCTTGAGCAATGTCTGACTGGTGACTGACTGAAACACTTGACCAAATTTTGGTCTAACAGGAAAAGGTGCATTCCCGTCTCAAGTGGCCGCTAACCACAGACCTCCACACCTTCATGCTCTTCGTGAGACCTCCACACACCTTCATGTGTCTAGTGGGACCTCCACACACCTTTGTGTGTCTAGTGGGACCTCCACACACCTTTGTGTGTCTAGTGGGACCTCCACACACCTTTGTGTGTCTAGTGGGACCTCCACACACCTTCGTGTGTCTAGTGGGACCTCCACACACCTTCATGTGTCTCTTGGGACCTCCACACACCTTTGTGTGTCTAGTGGGACCTCAACACACCTTCATGTGTATAGTGGGACCTCCACACACCTTCATGTGTCTAGTGGGACCTCCACACACCTTCATGTGTCTAGTGGGACCTCCACACACCTTCATGTGTCTCGTTGGACCTCCACACACCTTTGTGTGTCTAGTGGGACCTCCACACACCTTCATGTGTCTAGTGGGACCTCCACACACCTTCATGTGTCTAGTGGGACCTCCACACACCTTCATGTGTCTAGCGGGACCTCCACACACCTTCATGTGTCTCGTGGGACCTCCACACACCTTCATGCTCTTCGTGAGACCTCCACACACCTTTGTGTGTCTAGTGGGACCTCAACACACCTTCATGTGTCTAGTGGGACCTCAACACACCTTCATGCTCTTCGTGAGACCTCCACACACCTTTGTGTGTCTAGTGGGACCTCCACACACCTTCATGTGTCTCGTGGGACCTCCACACACCTTCATGTGTCTAGTGGGACCTCAACACACCTTCATGTGTCTAGTGGGACCTCAACACACCTTCATGCTCTTTGTGAGACCTCCACACACCTTTGTGTGTCTAGTGGGACCTCAACACACCTTCAGGTGACTAGTGGGACCTCAACACACCTTCATGTGTCTAGTGGGACCTCCACACACCTTCATGTGTCTAGTGGGACCTCCACACACCTTCATGTGTCTCGTTGGACCTCCACACACCTTTGTGTGTCTAGTGGGACCTCCACACACCTTCATGTGTCTAGTGGGACCTCCACACACCTTCATGTGTCTAGTGGGACCTCCACACACCTTCATGTGTCTAGTGGGACCTCCACACACCTTCATGTGTCTCGTGGGACCTCCACACACCTTTGTGTGTCTAGTGGGACCTCCACACACCTTCATGTGTCTAGAGGGACCTCCACACACCTTCATGTGTCTAGTGGGACCTCCACACACCTTTGTGTGTCTAGTGGGACCTCCACACACCTTCATGTGTCTAGTGGGACCTCAACACACCTTCATGTGTCTAGTGGGACCTCAACACACCTTCATGCTCTTCGTGAGACCTCCACACACCTTTGTGTGTCTAGTGGGACCTCAACACACCTTCATGTGTCTAGTGGGACCTCAACACACCTTCATGCTCTTCGTGAGACCTCCACACACCTTTGTGTGTCTAGTGGGACCTCAACACACCTTCATGTGTCTAGTGGGACCTCAACACACCTTCATGTGTCTAGTGGGACCTCAACACACCTTCATGCTCTTCGTGAGACCTCCACACACCTTTGTGTGTCTAGTGGGACCTCAACACACCTTCATGCTCTTCGTGAGACCTCCACACACCTTCATGTGTCTAGTGGGACCTCAACACACCTTCATGCTCTTCGTGAGACCTCAACACACCTTCATGTGTCTAGTGGGACCTCAACACACCTTCATGTATCTAGTGGGACCTCCACACACCTTCATGTGTCTAGTGGGACCTCCACACACCTTCATGTGTCTAGTGGGACCTCCACACACCTTCATGTGTCTACTGGGACCTTCACACACCTTCATGTATCTAGTGGGACCTCCACACACCTTTGTGTGTCTCGTGGGACCTCCACACACCTTCATGTGTCTAGAGGGACCTCCACACACCTTCATGTATCTAGTGGGACCTCCACACACCTTCATGTGTCTAGTGGGACCTGACCTGTTACTTACAGCTAGACGATGCATCACACACCCTGTGTCTGTTACTGACGGCGAGACGATGCATCACACACCCTGTGTCTGTTACTGACGGCGAGACGATGCATCACACACCCTGTGTCTGTTACTGACGGCGGGACGATGCATCACACACCCTGTGTCTGTTACTGACGGCGGGACGATGCATCACACACCCTGTGTCTGTTACTGACGGCGGGACGATGCATCACACACCCTGTGTCTGTTACTGACGGCGGGACGATGCATCACACACCCTGTGTCTGTTACTGACGGCGAGACGATGCATCACACACCCTGTGTCTGTTACTGATGGCGAGACGATGCATCACACACCCTGTGTCTGTTACTGACGGCGGGACGATGCATCGCACACCCTGTGTCTGTTACTGACAGCGAGACGATGCATCGCACACCCTGTGTCTGTTACTGACGGCGAGACGATGCATCGCACACCCTGTGTCCGTTACCGACGGCGAGACGATGCATCGCACACCCTGTGTCTGTTACTGACAGCGAGACGATGCATCGCACACCCTGTGTCTGTTACTGACGGCGAGACGATGCATCACACACCCTGCACACACGTGTACAGGAACTTATATTAGTTTCTTATATGTAATGTCAGTCTCCATATCACCATCAGTAACATTCTTTGTATGAAACAAGTTTAGCCTTAGAAATGTCCCCGCCCTAACACAGTGGGAACACAGTGGAGTAGCCTTGAGGTTCCAACCCAATGGATCCCCTCCTACATGGGTACAAAGTGTCAAGCCAAACAGAGACCCCTGCTGTGATATTCCAGCATATTGTTAACAGCGGTTTCAAACCATACACTACCACAGGTCACAACAATCACAGTATTACCATTTCTAAAAGCGTTTCACAAAACATAAACATAAGCGTTTACACATGAGGTGAGGGCCATACCAAGAAGCCTGTATATCTAGATTGACCACTCCTTTCCGAACCACAAGGAGTGTCGGCTTGATAGTTGACTTCATTCTCTGCTCTTATATGAGTAAACCACAACTAGACTTCATACATAACCTGGCCTCAACCCCCAGCAGATGCCTCCAGTGCATGGGGAATATTCTTACAACCTCAACCTCGTCTCCCAGTTCCAATCTTGGGACAGTAGCCTGATGACCTGATGACCTGATGGGCAGGTTCGGGGGGGCTGAGGCTAGCTGGGTGGCCGGCCAATCAGAGACCACACCAAACAGGGATGGTTCCTACCACTCCCTAACACCCTATAACTCCAGTGAGCTATTGTCCTCTGCCTGCTAGTCTACCTATGTATCTTTGCTTGCAGCGTCCGATTGGGCAGCTAGCATGCCACTTAGGGACGTTAAAACTTTGGAGCAAATATGACGACAGATGATAGGAGCTCTTGTGTCAATGGAGGGGTGAAAAAACAGGAAAACCACAAAAATGTTATCAGGCGGGAAGAGGGAGAGTTGGCGACAGAAGCATATCATCCTCGCCCCAACAAGGCACAGCACACAATATTTATTCAGAATGTTTCCAATGGGAACAGCAACTGATCTCCATTACTGCTTTTAATCTGATAACAGGCCTTAATGTGACAATCACGCCCTCTCCGTCAGACTCAAGTAGAAACACTTTGAAACTTCGTCACATTTACTTCGAAACATCACACATTTCTATGACAAGTTTCTTGTTTTGATGCCACCAGTTTCCTGTGTCGTCCTCTCTACCCCCAGGAGTGTAGAGACACTTGGAATATACCCTGTGGTGTTCACAGTTGAAGACGGCGACAACATCGCACAAAATGGCACAGTGACACCTGGTGTTGGTTAGGAGTACCACTTGGGATCCAATTCTGCATTGTCACTTGACAAGGTAAGTTCAAATGATTTACTTTTTAATTATTTAAACATTAATCTTGAGAATAACACATATTCACATAAATCATTCTCATTCAGCTATGAAAACCAATACTCATACATTATAGTTTTAAGAAACAATTTCATTGCTAATTTATTTATTTAAGTATTAAATCATTAATGTACAGAATAACACATACACATATAAATCAGATTCACACTCAGCTATGAAACCAATACATGCACATAATGTTTTGAAGAAACAATATTCATTGCTGTTCTGCATACAACGAACGTCCAGCCGCACGGAAGCAGATGCACACTTGTGAGTTAAACTTGAACTCTGCAGCACTGCAGCTATAAACCCACAACACATGCAGAGGAACTGGAACAAGATCCAGCCATAATTGGAACGTAATATTCATGGGAATGAGCACTACCATGTTGATAAATGGCCTGACTCCCAACAGAAACACACCAACGTCAAACAAAATCAACTGCAATAATGGGAGCAATGAATCCTTCATTTTGCTTGAACTATGCGAGTAATGACATAAGCTGACAGTGTTCCCAATGACCAGGTGTGTAGATTGTAATTCTTAGTTTCTGCAACCCATGACCCTCCTCGTCCCATGATAAGATGGCTGGGCAGTGACATGACAAGGTGTGGTGATACCTCCATGGTAATACATGACATAATGTTACCTGAGTGTGTCCAGCGGCTGGTGTAACTGTGGGTAGTGATACCTCCATGGTAATACATGACATAATGTTACCTGAGTGTGTCCAGCGGCTGGTGTAACTGTGGGTAGTGATACCGCCATGGTAATACATGACATAATGTTACCTGAGTGTGTCCAGTGGCTGGTTTAACTGTGGGTAGTGATACCGCCATGGTAATACATGACATAATGTTACCTGAGTGTGTCCAGTGGCTGGTGTAACTGTGGGTAGTGATACCGCCATGGTAATACATGACATAATGTTACCTGAGTGTGTCCAGTGGCTGGTGTAACTGTGGGTAGTGATACCGCCATGGTAATACATGACATAATGTTACCTGAGTGTGTCCAGTGGCTGGTGTAACTGTGGGTAGTGATACCTCCATGGTAATACATGACATAATGTTACCTGAGTGTGTCCAGTGGCTGGTGTAACTGTGGGTAGTGATACCGCCATGGTAATACATGACATAATGTTACCTGAGTGTGTCCAGCGGCTGGTGTAACTGTGGGTAGTGATACCGCCATGGTAATACATGATATAATGTTACCCGAGTGTGTCCAGCGGCTGGTGTAACTGTGGGTAGTGATACCTCCATGGTAATACATGACATAATGTTATCTGAGTGTGTCCAGTGGCTGGTGTAACTGTGGGTAGTGATACCTCCATGGTAATACATGACATAATGTTACCTGAGTGTGTCCAGCGGCTGGTGTAACTGTGGGTAGTGATACCTCCATGGTAATACATGACTTAATGTTACCTAATGTTACTATAGGTCTAGTATGTGATATACCTGTAGTATGTATGTGATATACCTGTAGTATGTATGTTATATACCTGTAGTATGTGATATACCTGTAGTATGTATGTGATACTCCTGTAGTATGTATGTGATATACATGAAGTATGTATGTGATATAGCTGAAGTATGAGATATACCTGTAGCATGTGATAAAACCTGTAGTATGTGATATACTTATAGCGTGTATGTGATGTAATTGTAGTGTGGATCTGATATACTTGAAGTGTGTATCTGATATACTTGTAGTGTGTATGTGATATACATGTAGTGTGTATGTGATATACTTGTAGTGTGTATGTGATATACCTGTAGTGTGTATCTGATATACTTGTAGTGTGTATGTGATATACCTGTAGTGTGTATGTGATATACCTGTAGTGTGTATGTGATATACCTGTAGTGTGTATGTGATATACCTGTAGTATGTATGTAATACACCTGTAGTATGTATGTAATACTCCTGTAGTATGTATGTAATATACCTGTAGTATGTATGTGATACTCTGTAGTATGTATGTAATATACCTGTAGTATGTATGTAACATACCTGTAGTATGTATGTGATATACCTGTAGTATGTATGTGATATACCTGTAGTATGTATGTAATACACCTGTAGTATGTATGTAATAACCTGTAGTATGTATGTGATGCTCCTGTAGTATGTATGTGATATACCTGTAGTATGTATGTGATACTCCTGTAGTATGAATGTAATATACCTGTAGTATGTATGTAATACACCTGTAGTATGTATGTTATAACCTGTAGTATGTATGTGATTCTCCTGTAGTATGTATGTGATATACCTGTAGTATGTATGTGATATACCTGTAGTATGTATGTAATACACCTGTAGTATGTATGTTATAACCTGTAGTATGTATGTGATTCTCCTGTAGTATGTATGTGATATACCTGTAGTATGTATGTGATATACCTGTAGTATGTATGTGATTCTCCTGTAGTATGTATGTGATATACCTGTAGTATGTATGTGATATACCTGTAGTATGTATGTGATGCTCCTGTAGTATGTATGTGATATACCTGTAGTATGTATGTGATATACCTGTAGTATGTATGTGATGCTCCTGTAGTATGTATGTGATATACCTGTAGTATGTATGTGATATACCTGTAGTGTGTATGTGATATACCTGTAGTGTGTATGTGATATACCTGTAGTGTGTATGTGATATACCTGTAGTATGTATGTAATACACCTGTAGTATGTATGTAATACTCCTGTAGTATGTATGTAATATACCTGTAGTATGTATGTGATACTCTGTAGTATGTATGTAATATACCTGTAGTATGTATGTAACATACCTGTAGTATGTATGTGATATACCTGTAGTATGTATGTGATATACCTGTAGTATGTATGTAATACACCTGTAGTATGTATGTAATAACCTGTAGTATGTATGTGATGCTCCTGTAGTATGTATGTGACATACCTGTAGTATGTATGTGATACTCCTGTAGTATGAATGTAATATACCTGTAGTATGTATGTAATACACCTGTAGTATGTATGTTATAACCTGTAGTATGTATGTGATTCTCCTGTAGTATGTATGTGATATACCTGTAGTATGTATGTGATATACCTGTAGTATGTATGTAATACACCTGTAGTATGTATGTTATAACCTGTAGTATGTATGTGATTCTCCTGTAGTATGTATGTGATATACCTGTAGTATGTATGTGATATACCTGTAGTATGTATGTGATTCTCCTGTAGTATGTATGTGATATACCTGTAGTATGTATGTGATATACCTGTAGTATGTATGTGATGCTCCTGTAGTATGTATGTGATATACCTGTAGTATGTATGTGATATACCTGTAGTATGTATGTAATACACCTGTAGTATGTATGTAATAACCTGTAGTATGTATGTGATGCTCCTGTAGTATGTATGTGATATACCTGTCAACTGTATCAACATGACACACTGAAATAATTCGCATAAATCAAACGTGAATTAAGTTTGCATACTACTTGAGCTCACTGTGAAAGTATCCACTGTTAAATCTCAAACTGTGATTACTAGACTATATCTATTATATCAAATAAGTACTAAATTTATGTAAATTTATACATTCAGCCTTTCTAGATAATATTAAAGATAACTAAGGCCCCTCCTAATGTGAGTCGTTGCGTGTCGTGTTGCCACAGCTTTCAGTGTTGTGTCTCCGCGCGCTGTTCACTAAACTATTGTCCATAATGAACTTACGGCAACACATATCCCAAGGATCAATGTGGAATATTTAATCAAGGGTTCCTTTTGTTCCGAATTTTTATAACCTGATTTTCATATTAAAAATTCTATTGAAATAATTCCTTATTACCCACATTCAATACTTACACCACCAAAGCAACAGCTGTTCAAACCTCCTGCTGAACATAACTGCTACAAAAACTAATAAACATGAAACCAATAGCTAATATTGTCTAAATTAAAAGATACCCTTCGTTTGAAAAATGAAAAACATAAACCTGTTTAAAAAACAATGGAAAAGTGCATTCTGGTTGATGAAGTGTAGGCTGTGATCTTAATGGGTTACCTGATAAGGTATATAAATATTTGCCACATTATTAAATCACCCACATGCCATTTTCTACCAGTTACAGTATTACCTTTCTGTAAAGTTTGTGAGACGGTCCCTAACAAACAAGTGAAGTATACACTGGTAGAAAAAGAATAGATTGTGAATACATAACTTTTACCTGAAAAGGTAAATCAGTATTTTTCATTATTAAAACCAATATCTCTTTTCCATAAATAATAGTATATTCTTTCTTTGAAGAATTTAAGATGGTGCTCAAAAACAAATGAAAAATACTCTGGTAGAACCAGTTTCACAGACTGTGATCTTTTAACGAGTTTCACCTGATAAGATAAATTAGTATTTGCCCATAACACAGTGCTAGCCAATTAAACCAGTAATTACCGCCAGAACAACGGTAATTACACTACAAGGACCACTGGGCTTAACACATCATCGACTAGGTTACTACAAGTCATTAATATAAATGTTGACACACACACACACAGACAAAACACCTAAATAAATATTTCATGAAACCATGACAGAAGCTCTACTCTTACCACCTGACTGATTAATAATTGTCACATTTGAACAGATGACATGTGCGGCCCACGATGGCTTCCTCGATGCACAATGCTCTATAAACATATGTTGTCATAGACTGCCTCGTTCCAACCCACCACTAAGTCACCAGACATTCCCTCGATGCACAATGCTCCACAAATGTTGTCATAGACTGCCTCGTTCCAACCCACCACTAAGTCACCAGACATTCCCTCGATGCACAATGCTCTATATACATATGTTGTCATAGACTGCCTCGTTCCAACCCACCACTAAGTCACCAGACATTCCCTCGATGCACAATGCTCTAAATACATATGTTGTCATAGACTGCCCCATTCCAACCCACCACTA